CATTTACGCCACCTAGCTTACTTGTTTTTGTGAGTGCACGTAAACTAGGTTATATCTGCCTTCTGTACTTATTCTGAACGCGACAAACAAGAATGGTAAGTCCGATCTGCTTTCATCAGACATTCCTTTAGTCTCTGGTCTTCGCATGGATCTCAGCTACCACAGCATCTCCACGGTGCATCTTGATGCCGATGCCATACCTCGCTTAGCTATTCGGCAGGCGAACCAAACTAGGCAGGACAGTCGATATTTTCAAGTCTCAGCGAGATTAGATTTATCACGCTCGTCACTTCAGCTTTGGTGGAACGGGTGAAGAGGATTCACTCAGAGATCAAACGGTTGCGGAATAGAGGATGCCATCATACCCCGGAGTACGCAGACGTTCATTTCTTGATTTTCTGCACACTCGTACTTCATGGAACCCTTCTAGCTTACGGTTTGCGCTTGGCTGCACTCCTGAACAGAAAGACCGGTTGATATTATGTCAATCCTTCTTTTGCTTTTATCTGAGCGATCAAGTACAACGGCCCTCACCACCGAAGGTGAGCGGCGTGAAAATGCCGACCGTCTAGCTATGGTTGAAGATTTCAATCGACTGGTCGTCACCAAAACTCGCTTCCAACATTTAAGAAAGCACCTATTGTCTTGGCATCCCAACGACGCTTGGACAGCATACCAGATTGACCACATCTCGGTAAGATCCTCGGTTTATAATTGTCGAGCATACCGCAGCAGCGAAACTGGAAACGCCAATGGCACTGCCCACACACTCCTACGTGCCCGTGTCAAAATCCAACTCTCAGTTCGAAGGAGGCAGTATCAATGACTTTTCGTTAGCAACTCCCGACAAGGCCCAAGCTTCATCAAATGCTAACGCCTCCAGATTGAACAGTGATCCCGTTAACGGTAGCCTAAATGCGCGATGGACTACGCTGAAAGCACCCATGAAAGGGGCCACCCTCAGAAAAATAGGCAGGAAATCCCGGCATGAAAAAGTGGATCTCTGAAGAAACATTCAGCCGCTGCTCAAAGGCTAATGAAGCGAGACTGCGTAATTCACTTGATTTCCGCAGCCTTCGCTGAGAAACTACGCACTCTGCAAAGAAGCACTGTAAACGGTACTTATCCCAAATAACAGGTAAAATGGTGATTGTAGCCGTCGTTGCAGATTTCGGGACTCTTCCGATTCGTACGCTCCGTCTCAGGAAAAACGACACCGTCACCTTCTCAGATACGGGAAGACAACGGACATCTCATATAACGGACCAAATAAAAACTTCGAATATGGGTCGAACATCCCAGTGAGCTACTAAACCACCTTTCCCACAAACGAGTTGTGCAGTGTCGCCAGGCAACGCTGAACAATATAAAATTGACAAAAGCCACCTTGTCTACCGGAAGTAGTATCCGCCATCGATAAAATGCAAAACAAGGAAATCCCCCAGTAAAGACGGCATCCCATGTAAGGTATTCAAGGTCCGTCTGTCACTGCGCATCATCTGAATATGTTGTTAGTCATTTCATTGATTGTTACGCCACAGAAAATGTAACGGGATCATCAGGAGATTTCGATAACAATTTTTCACCTAAGCTTACTTTCTTAAGTGGTAATGGACATTCTCTACTAACTGGGATCTTTTATTCTTTATCTCGAAGTTATTTTTCGGAACGGAACCTTACTTGCACTTACAACGCTGATGCCTATGGTCTCTTTCTTGTTGTAACGGCATTCACCGAGACATTCTTGATCCCTTTTTCCGTGACAAGCATAAAAATTTCGCGGACTTGAAACAGAATTTAACCATGATCAGAATAACCTTCTTCCGCAACAATCCAGATAACATCCTACGGTTGTTTCATTTTACAAGCATGAAGACGGATTTATAAGCATAGTCAAAATTTATAGTAACCAAAATAAATCCACAATAAATCGGTTTTATTAAGGGCTTTCATGTGGTATTGCTTTTTTGGCTGACGGAGTTTGAACACAGAGAATCACCGAACTCATTATCGGCTTCTCTCGCAATTTTCTCCAGAAATGACATTCGTCACACGGTCTTCGTTGTCGTGGCATCTGGAGGTCCTTGCAACATTGTCGTGTATCCAAGTCGCACACTACTCTTTCTTTTCGAATTCAGAACACCGCGTTTTCTATTAAATTCAACATTGGAGAATACGGACTTAGCCGAAGCGATGCAGCACGTGGACGAATCTGTTCCACGAGAGCAGATTCTGATTTTGAGTGGCAGGGGGCGTTATCACATTTGATTACAACTCCACTCCTTTCTCTCAGTTTATCCGAAATTTTACACAGCAATTGCTTGCACTTTTTGCATGTGTAAAACCCACGTTTGATTGCAATACCCACAACGCCCCGTTCCCTCATGGCTCAACAGGTACCGGACGCACTGATTTACCGGTTATCAACCTCTCATCTAGGTATCTACAGATGGCAGAAACATCGATAGACTTCTCATATATCGCATACTTCCAGATTCTTATTTCATCCACAGTGACAGTTGCATCTTCAGATATCTACTCCAAAATCTCATCTACTTCAGATTCAGAAACCATTCTGCATCGTCCAGTTATTTTCTTCGGAATCAACCGATTATTTAAAGATCTTACCCAAGAATGAGCCGTTTTATTTTTGACTCCACAACATTCAGCAATGTTTTGCCAGTCCTCGCACTCATTTATGCACCAACAACTAGCGTATTTATTTCAGGTGCATATCGTGCATACGAACCTCGCTGTTTCAAATTCACAGCTTCGCAGTTCGTCTAAAATAAAATTAACAATATACATTATTTCCAACTACTAGCTGACCTTTTCAGTTGGAAGTAATTTGTCGATTTAACAGATTCTCCGCTGATGCTCAGCTTTCTGGATGAACTGCCGTTCGGGACAAGGAGTCAGACACGGACTATTGTGGTTACGAAAAAAACGAGCTCGGACCTGACTCCAAATGGTTATATATGTCAATTTATTGGCTCTGCAGATGGATTTCATTCCTATGACCATTGATACGCAGCAGACAAACCCACTACCCATAAGCACCCTGGCGAGCATTCAGTGCACAGAAAGCCACCAGGTACATGCCCGAATTAGTTCGTGAAGCCCCAGTTCACATACCGACCTGAACTGACCACAGAATGTCGTTGTTAAGGGGCTAGTAGCTAAGAACTTTGTGGATGTTGGTGACAAAATACAGAAAAACACGCTCACAATTCTTGCACCTGCGAGTTTATACATTTTGACATCCGAAGTGTCACTTAGCTGTCACTCAAAAACAGAGCTTAACTGCAGTCTATCATTCGTAAGCCCCGATAAATTGTTATCATCACGCGGCGGATTGAAATTCGGATACATTTGCTCCGTTATAACCGCACCACAGTTCTCGTTTCCCATTGTTATCCTCGGGGTTAGTGTGTGACCGCAGTATGATCTCACCTCCTTTGTTCACTCCGCCCACTTGGAACGCGTAAAGCTGATTGAGAGGCTTGCCTCTGTCTACTGGTTTTGTAAATGACCGCTACTTGATCACCTGGTTCGGTCACACGATAGCTACTGAGCCTCTTAGCTCTGGTCACGACAAGGTCGACTTCACGTGCATAATTATGTACGCACATTATGATGTGATGCACAGACGACGGGTGTACGGTGTGACCACCTAAGCGAAATGTGGAGGGATGATTGATACGCCGGTCTTCAGACCAATCGGAAGGAAATCTCAAACAGCCGATCGGGTGGCACTTCCGATTCATTTTGACGTAATTTCGAAACAATGCGGAAAACGGTATCGAAGCGGACGGGGTGCCTGAGAAGTACATAAGATTACTGAGGTCGTATTATGCGGTTACGCGAGAGCGTCTCCGCGCCAGTGGCGAAGAGTCTGCAGAGCTTTCGCTCGACTCCGGCTTCCATCATGGTTGTCCCTTTTTACCAGTCCTGCTCAACTATGCCACAGATTGGGCGATGCATCGTACCGACATCGGTTACCGAGGAATTCAACTAAGCCAGGAGACTTGGATCACGGATCCTGAATTCGCTGACGATGTTGCCATTCTGGGTGACGAACCGAACAGTCTTTAGACGGTTCTTAACCGTATCAAGTGCGAGGTCAGTGTGGTCAATCTGGAAATAAACACAAGAAAACTCAACATCTTCACGACTTCCCCAGGTCCAACAGGCTTCGTCTAAGTTGGCGGCCAAATCTTGGAATTAGTTTTGGACCAAAAGTACCATGGGTCTACCATACAATCAGGTAGCCAGGCCAAAGGTGAATTAGATATCCGGGTCGTTCGCACAGGAAGAGCATTCCTGTAACCCCGCAGATCACTGTGGTCCAGCAGTGAAATAAGCCTCCGCACAAAACTGCGTTCATATTATCGCCATTCTCCTCGTTCTCAAGTCCTCTTGTGAAAACTGGCACCTGAGGGCAGAGGATACGAAAAACCTGGATAGCTTCAATCACCGACGTCTTCTGCATATGGGCCAAAATCAAATAGCCTGATCCAGCCTCCAATTTCACTGCACAACACTGCTTGAATAACGAAGTGCTATCCTTTTCTTCGGCGATGCCGTGTCTAATGGTTTGGTCATGTCCCTCATCAACTCGAGATGGAACTCATAAACAGAGGCTTTTTACTGGCACCTTGTCCAAGCTGGAACTGTCGCCTTAGCGGTCAGTTAAGGAAGTAGGTTGACGCAATCAACGCGGATGCAGAACATCTGGACATTTAGTTAGTTTTCGGACTTCGTGTGTGGCAGGAGAACTGGATTTTACCTTAGACCGGCCTAACCTAAGACCCAGACGCGTGGAAAGCTGCCATTAGAGACCTTCATGAAGTCGAATTATCCTCTCCTGGGAGTTAGTTGCATAAAATTAATAGTAGAAACCTTTCAACAAAAGCTTAAAATCACGGAAATAATGACAGAAGAACTACAAGTGACATAATCAGTTAAGTTGAGAAACAGGTTATTGAAGCACTACTTACCAAACAATATGAAAGAGCTAATGTACATTACGAACCCATACAGGGCTCGTTCTTCCTGTGGACCAGGATGAGAAGCAGGAGTCTGAATCTGAACTGAGCCCATGAGAATCGGAACATAAGAAGACAAAAGGCACATACAGTCAAAGTCCTCCAACTCATCCATGTTGCGCACCATTGCAAATATTCTTCTGTGAAATTTTCCGCCGGATAGCTACTGAAAAAAAGACCACTTCCAGTAGATATACCATGAACAAGAAGCGACACAGTGGTTCATAGGCATGGAGATCAAAACAATTATAATGCCAACTACGCTGTATATTAACAATCCCGTCAGCATAACCTTCGTTGGAACTCATGAACCGATAACTTTTTTTATCCAAGATGAAACGAGATACAATTCGGGAACATTCGTAAAAAGAAAGTACACCAATCTTGTTTTCTGCAGAAAGATGGGAGTTAGATAGACTGAAATGCAGGGACAAAACGTTTATTCCAGAATTCAGCAATCCGAGAAAATAGATAAGTGCTAATTTTCAACATCTGGGGAGAGAAACTTGATGCGGAAGGCTGGTTACTTGTGTTTGGGGCAGGCGACGAAAACAACGTGGAGCCCTTCAAAAAGGTTAATGCCACTGTGAAAGCTATTTACTGCAAAACATTTTCCCTATGTTATCATGAGCCATATACAGGCAACGCCCATATGCTATTCACATTACCACTACGAATAAACGCCTCACAGAACACTGTACACCCAGGGAGACCTCCGGGAACACGCATTACATGCGTCACAATCGTGGCAGCTTGCTTTAGTTCAGTTTGTTTTGAAGATTTGCTCTGTATGACAGATACCCAACATTTCATCTCAAGACTGTTGCTGAGATGCCCCCAAAGGTTCGACTAACGCTAAAAAAACATCCGTGTTTGGGTATCGACGGCCTTGTTTTCAGCGACCGCTTACTGTGATGAGGAAGCTGTTGGCAGCCATATTGCTGTTCGATTAATGTGAATGTAGGATCCTGTGGATGCATTCAGTGAGTCTTTATGCTCCTGAATTTTTCTGTTTTGTATTTTGCAGATCGAACACGAGCAACCACAACGGAAAACATTGGTCTTGCATACTACATTACAAGCCGTACACGAGGGAAGAATGTTATTGGTATGTTGGTTAAGTTGCCTTTCGACCACCAACCCTGCACTTCAGCGTTCTAAGTTTTAGATGCATCGCTGAACACCCAGTCGAAAAGTGGATACACAGAAGCGTAAAGAAACAGTTGAGAGAAAAGAATGGTCACGGAGACGAAACAATTTCGAATTTTAAGTACGACACTGATAAATACACTTGATCGATGTCTCTAATCACCAGTTTGGCGGTTCCTATGGGTCCAAAGCCAGAATCTTACCAGGTTTTTAATACGTTTTGGTTTCTCATGAAACCCGCGCACTTAATCTCAGCTTGCAATTCCCGATCGTTCTAGCCTGCTACGAAAAATCAGAAGGCAAAACCCGACTCGCCAAAATAGAAATTACTGTGCTGTATATAAAGCGAACATCGAATATTACCGAACTCGGGCGTCCAGTTAGATTCAAGTCCTTTGGGGCCGATTGGCTTGATAACAATATTTTCGCCGGATTTACTATTGATCCTTTGGCCCAATTTGCGTCGGACTGTAGATGAACGCTCGATTAGCAAAGAGGTTACGTCATGAGTCGTCCGATAATTTATTGATTACTGATTGTTCAATCCGGCCTGACAGGCTCCAGTTGATTAATGGCTCGTCTAAAAAGTTTTTTTCTTCATTTTAACATCATAATAGTTTTACACTGATAAGCCTACTGGTCAAGCCATACGTACCTATAAGCCACATTATAGACTGGGCGTCTGGACGCATCCTCTAACCACCAGCTGCACTGAGCAACAAAGTATATCTGTTGAAAGTCAGCAAACCCCACACTCACGTGCTGCACTTGATCAGGTCTAATTATTAAAGTTGGGAATTCGCGTCAATCATAAGTCATATGGGAAATGCGGGCTGCATCAGTCATGGTGCGAAGCTAGGTCCCGTACTCATCACTCCCCATCGGAACCGGTTGTGAACCTCGCGTTATGTTCTGATTTCTACGGACGACCTACGCATTGGAGCTTCGTTTACAACTTGTTTTGTATCGTTTCACTAACTCCAGGGAGAAATCTATTCTGGCCACAAATCATCCCAGTTTATTAACACAGAACATATAGGTTATACAGGAAGAAACAATCACTGACACCAAACGTTCCAACGCAAACCAACTGGTTCATACTGGCATGAAGTAACCTGTGTTCTGGTTGGTTGGTTGGTCACATGACTAGCTACCACCTGACGGGAACCCGTTCGCGTCTCGTCGACCCGAGACCTTATCACCTGCGCATCTGCAGGCACAAGCACTGGCCCGGATTCCGGACAGGCGCTGACATGCCGAATTCTGGCGGGACACGGCTGACTATCGATCACGAGTCAGCACATACCCTCACACAGCTCATACCACGTCAGCCCGTAATGAAAAACAGAATGACAGTGTATTTGCAGGAATCAACAACACGGTTTTTGAGGTGAAAATGGAGCATTACCGAATTCGGACGTCTAGTCAGGTTCACACTCTGTCGGGCCGGTTAGGTTGACGGAACGCCAGCGAGAATGATTATTGATCACTGACCCAATATGCGTTGGGCTGCAGATAACTGCTCGATTAGCGGAAGGGGGCTGTCTCGTGTGAGCTGGCGGTTTGTTGATTACTGGATCCAGTCTAGCATGACCAAAATGATTAGTGGCTTGTTTCGGGGAATGCATTTTGTGACTTCCTAACACCTCGTTTTATTTGACTGACGAGGATCCAGCTGCTCTTGTATAGTGGATCTCTGGCTGGTTAGAAATAAAAATTGCTGAGTACTTTGATCTGTGTCTTCTCTTCTCACGACTTGAGTAGTGCCCGTTTGTCAGTCTCGCGGACATTTTTTACGGTGGATGATATGTCACGAACGGTTTCTGAGAGTTTCTCGGTTTCAATAGCTGCAATGACGGTTTCAGGCTGTGATGGTGGCTTGGGCCTTTGACTTTGGTGGCAGGAGTTGTTGGTCGAGATATCGATGAAGCCCAAGTCCTCAAGCCAGCCTGCTGATGCTGCCGCTGATGACGATGATGGTAATGATAGTAATGACAATGGTGGTGATGACTATGATGACAATGGCGGTGATGATAATGGTGACTCCGTCTCATTTGTGGCAGGGGGCACCACCTCCCCTGACTTCTTTGCTGACCACACAGGTATCGACAGCTCAGTGCATTTGATGCATAACACTTCGAGTAGCAGCGTATGAAATTTATCGTAAATAAGATGGAAGAACCGCTGGGCAAGAGTAACCATGTAGTCCTGAGGGTTACACTAAGGGTCAGCAAGATGCCGACAAAAATGGTGTCACGACAGTGCTATGGCTGAATTACTATAAACTAAAGAGAAGAGCGGAGGAACTACAACTGACACCGAGCCACACAAACAATTCAGAAGAGGAACGCCGGGAGGCCATCAAGATGGGACTACCCAGACTAGCATAGGAATTTGCACCTCTGAGGGCAATTGGCAGCGGAAATCGACCCCTACGGCGGAAGTCGTAAGTCTGTAAATCTATAGCCATTTGTAAACAACGATAGGCAGCGTATAAGTTGTACAAAACCCAACAAGCATGGAACAATTGAGATGGCCAGGAAGAGAGCTCAAGTGATCCAAAGAGTGGAGAAGTATCCATGTGAGCGCAGGTTAGCTGCATCAGTTCACATCAACTCCAAGTGGTCCTACGTAAAATCCCAAAAGCATATGAAAAAGTGTAGCAAACTTAGAAGGGGTACAGGGACGTCTAGCACTGAGCAAGAAAGACAAGGCCGATGCGCCCTTGTCATCCCCTCAGAGCATAAACCGACAGAAAGATACTGTAGAGGGAAGAATAGAGGAACCACAAGGGCCTGCAGATGGGATTCATCCAGCCATCATTCAGTCTCTGTCTGAAGTGTTAAACACTCCAATTACGCAGTTCTACGAAACGTCAATTTGAGACGGAAACGGTCCGGGAGACTGGAGGAAGGCAATTATGGCGAGAACACACAAGACCGGAGCCCGACACAAGGCGGAAAATTAAAGGCCAGTTAGTTTGACTTCAGTACTCTGTAAGTGCTTGGAGCGAATAGTAAGGGAACAGATTTTTACGCACCTGATCCAGAATCGTCTCATACTGAGTACGCAGCAAGGGTTCGTGGCAGGACGATCGTGCCTTACGAATCTCCTGCTGTTTCTTGACGAGGTAACCAGGCGGCTGGATAAAGGACAGTTAAGTGGTCTGTTAAATGGACCTTAGCAAGGCGGTTGATTCCGTGAACCACAGGTTCCTAGACATCAAACTGCAGTCTATGGGAAGTGTTGGCAAGACAGAGCAGGTAAATAACTTTCGAACAGGGCGTAAATTCAGTATCAAGGTGGGTACTCACGTCTCTCAGTTGGAAGAGGTAATCATTGAGGTGCGACAGGGCTCAGTATTCGGCCCTCTGCTCCTCCTAGTCTTCACAACTGATCTCGCGCGTGAAATTAGTAACCCTACTTTTATGTTTACCGATGACGTCAAGACACCTGGAACAGAAATAATGGGCGATGTGCTAACCGTCGAAAGCTGGTCGCGCAAGTGGGATCCTCCACTTAACTTCGCAAAATGCCAATGTCTGACCACAAATACAGCCACTAGTGGGAGTGGTGTAGGGTCGTTGCAAAAAGCCTCTCAATGCATGGATCTAGGTACGGTGCTAGACAACAGTTTTAGGCCGTCAAAGCAGTGCATTGCGACAGAAAGTATGGCTAGGAGGGAATTCTTTCGAGTTAGATCTACGATGTTACGTAGGGCCACGGTCAGGTTGCGCCCGGAGTACTGCGTGCATGCCCGGGCACCGTACTAACAGAACGATGAAGACTCCTTTGAAAAGGTGCAAAGACTAGCCATCATTATGGTAAGTGAACAAGGGGGAATGCCTAAGTGAGCGTCTTTGGCCTGTGGATCTGCTTTCGATGAGGCGGTGGTGCGTAAGCAGGGAGTTGAAAGGAACCCTCAATCGAATGAAGGAGTTTTTGGGTGAAAATCAAAGAGAGCTTTTCTCTCCGATC